TACCCACCCTTTACTCCTCCATTAGATAGGAACAATGTATTTAGGAAATTGAATGCCCTGCTCAAACACTGGGTATAACTGATTGAAGAGTAACCATCTAAAATACAGCGTAATGTGCTACGACCTGCCAGACGAAGCCAGGGCTGCAAGGGAAGCCTGGGTCCCGGGTGCCTGCAGGCAGACAGAGGGAAACCTGGGTCCTGGGTGCCAGAGGGAAGCCGGTGTTGGCAGTCGGGAGAAGGAAGGCCTACTCTTGCACGAATTTTGTGCATCGGGCCTCTAGTATCTTTAATAAGGAATCAAATGAGAATGGCCATGTGGCTTATTTCTGGCCAATGAGATACAAAGTAAAGTATTCTTCAGTGAGGAAAAAAAGGGGGAACATCTGTAATACTTTCAACAATAAAGATAAAAACAAAATAAGAGTCCATAAAGAAAAGCATATCTGAAGGATGTTTGTATTTTTTTTAAAAAATGTGCCCAGTCAGTGCTCGCTTCGGCAGCACATATATACTAAAATTGGAATGATACAGAGAAGATTAGCATGGCCCCTGCGCAAGGATGACACACAAATTCATGAAGCGTTCCATATTTTTAATACATTCTTAGTATTTAAAAAAAAAAAGTGCCCAGTCAGTGTGGCTCAGTGGTTGAGTATCGACTCATGCACCAAGAGGTCACTGGTTTGATTCCCGGTCAGGACACATGCATGGGTTGTGGGCTCAATCCCCAGTAGGGGTGTGCAGGAGGCAGTCGATCCATGTTTCTACCTCTCCCTCTCCCTTCCATATCTTTTTTTTGTAAAATTATTTTGAGGAGATCTTTTGAAGTCTGCATCTTTCTCCTCTATAAAATGATTATCAGATATTTATTGAGCACTTATAACATGCCAGTACTACACTAAGCACCTATGCCACCACTGTATAATACTTCCTATATGAAACATGAAAAAGGAATAATCTCCCTTTCATTGTACCTGGTGTGTAGCCTTAGAATAAGCCAACATAGAACAGAAGAAAGTGAATCCTTGATAAAACCTTGTATCAGTTCTATCAACCAATTCTGAAGGATGGACTTCACATTATAGGAACTACTTTTTGTTGTTATTTTAACCAGCTTGAGTTGGAATTTCTGAGGTTGCAGCCCAAACTATCTAATACCAATACTTTGTGCTAGAAAACAGTTTCATATAGTGGGAAAGTCATCAGAGGTTCCACATCTATTCATATAGCTAGTCTTTAGGAAAATTGAAATTCACCTAAGGGGAGAGGGACATGCCGTTCCTTCTGATTCCTACCTTCATCTACACTAAAAGCTAAGTTCTTATAGTAATATGTGGAAATAACACCTTCTCAACTAAAAATGCTGATGCCTAAAATTCTACTGAAAACAGACAAGGAATACTGGAGAGAGAAGCCTTAAAAAGCTAATGTCAAAAAAAGAAATGGGGGGGGGGGCAATGTCAAGATGAGATAAAAAGCAAATGAAACTGCATGATGGGGAAGAAAAATATCTATGTTTATATAAATGATACAAACATAAGAATGATAAATCAAGTATTTTAAATAAATGGAGGTTGGGGGTAAAACAAGAAGACTGCACTTATGGCAATTTTGCTAAAATCACTATTACTTGAAGGTTTGGTTAGCTTTTAACTATGTCTGAATATAGTTAAAAAGTTGTATGTAGGAAGTTTCTGTTGAATATGAATAAGTAGGACACTTTCAATTAGCCATGGAACACTGTCTAACCCTGTTTCCCCTGACTAAAGGGGATTTTAAATAATGCCACCTTCATGGAAACAGATCTTTGCATCCATAGAATTATTACAAACTAGAAACCTGGTGATTGCTAAAATCTATTACTTGAAGGTTTGGTTAGCTTTTAACTATGTCTGAATATAGTTAAAAAGTTGTATGTAGGAAGTTTCTGTTGAATATGAATAAGTAGGACACTTTCAATTAGCCATGGAACACTGTCTAACCCTGTGTT